TCACATGGCAAAATAATATTTTTCTTAAGACCAGTGACAGTATCTTAACTTGGGTAGAACAAGGGATTGGATCGATATGGTGACCTCTGCCTTTCACATTTATGGAGTCACGTGCAAATCATTGATTGATCCTTTTTAATGGTAAACGCATTTTTTGAAACTGTAGAGTTTTCCTATAAATAATAAGTTCTTGAGCCTCTCCCCAATTTCCTAATTTTCCTTATTAATAACTTCAATGTTATCATTTTAAATTTCCTTTCCTTTTTTTTTCTAAACTTTTTTCTTATTGGCAAGTGACAATCTTTTTTTTAATCCATTATTTCAGTCAATTCTGGTTCTTACTTCATTCTTGAGACCCATCTTTATTTTGATCAATGAATTAAGCAAAGCAAAAAGGAACTGATGACTTTCAAAATTTATCTCAGTGAGTCTCTAAGTTCTTGCGCATAAAAATTCACTTAATGCGTATGTTAAAAATACATATTCTTGGGATGTGCTCTCTAGAGTGGGGTTGGCAACCTCTGGTGGTGGGTCAAATCTGTCCCATTGCCTGTTATTGTACTGCCCCCAAGCTAAAAATATTTGTGTTTTTTTTTAAAGTTGAAAAAGAAAAGAATATTTCCTGACACATGAAAATTATTTGAAATTCAAATTTCAATGTTTATATAAAGTTTGATTGGACCACAGCTATGCTTATTCATTTACACATTGCCTGTGGCCGCTTGTGTGCTGTATCAGCAGAACTGAGTAGTTTTGACAGAGACCATATGCAAAGTCTAAAATTTTTACTGTCTGGCCCTCTAGAGGACAAGTTTGCTAACCTCTGCTCTAGAGAATCTGATTCAGAAGTTCTGAGAAAGGAACTAGGAATTGCTTTCAACGTGTTTTTTGGGTGATTGTGATACAGGGATCTTTGACGACACTTTGAAAGGTAATGCAGTAGAAGAATTGTGAACAACCTGTCTCTTCTTCTCCCCTTCTCTTCATCACACCCACTCCATCAGCAAACCCTATTGGCTTTATCCTCAAACAGTATCTAGAATTTGTCTATTTTTTACCTTGTTCACTGCTATCAACCTAGTCCAAGCCATCATCATTTTTCATCTGGATTCTTGTTATTGGCTTCCTAACCAGTCAATCTTCTTCTGCCCTTGCCTCAATATTGTCCATTCTCAACATGACAGCCAGAGTGAATGTGGTAAAACCTTAGTCATGTCATGTAACTCTTTTCTTCAAAGTCCTCCAGTGGTCTCTCTACTTCTCTTTTCTCTCTATTCTAGCTACATTGGCTTCCCACTGTTCCTCAGAAACGCTAGGGGTGCTCCATCTTCAACACCAACACAGGCTATTTTCTCTAAGTGGTATAGTCTTCCCCCCAGAGATCTACATGGCTTTTATCTTTGTCTCATTTAGGTCTTTCCTTAGCCATTACCTTCTTGGTGATTCCTTCCATACACACCTTATTTAAAATTGTAATCTCTTTATCTGGGACTACCAATCTCCCTTATGCCAGCTAACATGCTACACACTTTGCTTCTTTATTTTGATTGTGAGCCACTTTCCCCACATGAGGGCACCATGAGGACAGGAATTTTTATCCATTTGCTCTATCTTTAGATTTAAAAGAGTTCCTGGCTTACTGTGGGTTCTCAATAAATATTTCTTGAATAGCGAAATGAACCCCAAACTCCCATTCTGTACTGGACAGATAATGTATGACACTTATCAAACATGCAAAAACAGTTGCCAGGGGTATAAATATACGAGTCATCTTTGAAAAATGATGTAATATCTTGTAACCACCACAGATGAGAAGAAGAATAAAGCAGCTATTAACTTGTATCATTTGTTTTTTCAATCTCAACCAATAACTTAGTTACAAAAGATGCTAAAGGAAAGAAAGTAGAGGATGGGTACAAATATTAAAATGGGTACATGGATGAAAATTCAGTTGAAAATGTTTGGAAGAGATTTCAGGAAGTTTCACAAACAAGCTGCTTCCTAAAGCAGGTAGATGTGCTTACTGCAAGTTTTACTGTTCACCATCAGGTTGAGCAATTTGAGGACAGTGGCACTCAAAGTTCCCAAAAGGGAAAATGTAGGGTGTGACTAGCCTTGGTTCAAGTAACTGTTTAGGAAACACCAGCTTTATAAGAGAATGTAAAGCATTTTTAGATGTAGCTGAACTGGATTCCTCAAAAATAAGATGAAACGGAGATTTTCTTTGACTTAATACTCTTGTTCAAAAAATTACTCATCTAATTTTATGGTATTTTTAAAGCTTAATTTTGTGGATTAAACAGTAGTCTGTTCTTACAAAGATATAGATTTTGACTATGGAAGGACACTTTTACTGTCAAAGAATACATTTTAGAGAGAAAAACAAAACGAAACAAAATAAAACTTCATTCTCTATCTGTTCTTCTTTGAAGTATTTGGCTTGATCTCCAGGAACTGAGTGTACATGATTCCATGTCCCTCAGTTAATATGATCATCTAAGTAACTATGAATATTCAAAAGTAATCAGTCAATATTCAATTCAAAGTAAGAAACATCACCTCCAAATTAAGTTTGTGACATTTCCAAAGGAGTGGTCGATGAATGCCAAAAGATTTGAGGACTTTATATCAATTTGAATTTTAAAACCTAAATAATTGTCAGAGAAATCAGTTCTTTCACATTTTGAGATTTCTTGAAAGTTAATGCAATAAATAACAAAGTTTCTATGCAATGTGAAGTCAGCTTTGCTGACCACTAAAGCACAGGCGTTATTTAGGGGATCCCTACCCTGGGTGGAAGATTGGGCTAGATCAGGCAGGGAGAGGCAACTTATAAGGTCCCTTCCAAAACTAAGATTGTTTAAATCCTATTATTTTATATTGAGGTAATCTAATTATTCTACTCCCTCACCTCCCATTTTTCTGCTTAACCCTGTACTATCTTAAATCAGTTTATTGACAAGGGAGAGTGAGACTAATAACTGTCAAGATGACAGATTGAACTTTCAAACTACAGGCTTATAACAGTTTTATGTGAATATGAGCTAGTAATAGCAAGTAATATTTCTGTTGCACTTTACGTTTTACAAAGCACTTGCAGGTCCTTTATTTCATTTGATGTTTCCTCAACTCTGTGATTAAGTTATTACTACCAAAGCTCGTTCATTGGTAAGAAAATGGAATTCAGAGATTCCTCAAGATGCGCAGCGAGTGTGTCTTAGAATCAGGAGTCAGATGGAGTTCTTCAGATTGTGTCTCTGTACTACAGTATATCTATTTCATTTGCCCTCCCCACCTCTCCCCTCAGGAAAAGCAACGCTGTGAGGGGAAAATTCGGTTGTTATCCCTTTATGCAGATAAAGGCACAAAGATAGTAAATGGTAGAAGTGGGAATTAAATCTGGGCATACTGCCTAAAAATCCTGCGTTCTTTCAGCTGTAATATACATTCTACAGTGTGTAGTTTTATTGCTGTTTGTGATAAAAGAAAGACCTGAAAATCTAAAGGCAACAGTTGGGGATAGTGGATGATGAGGAGAGAGAATGAAATCAAGGAAAGCATGGGATCCAGGCGATCTTCCTCTCATTGGACCCCACCTCCCAGCCCCCAGCACCACTTAGCACTGAGGGGAGATGTTAACAGAGGAAAGTAAATTCAGGCTGTTTAGGGGAATTAACATGATGTGCTGAGAAGTTCTACTTCTTTCTGCTTTGACATCCCCTTTCTTCTCCAGTTATTCTATGAGCTCCTCAGAGGTCACGAAACTGTATATTTTGTCTTTATATTTCACACATATAGTAAAAATAGCTAACAGTTGGTGAGACAGTAAACCTCTTTATTGTAAAATATAAAACTCTTGACATTTATTGACTCATTTAATCTTTGTCATAACCCTATAAAATAAGCATTATTATCCCTTCCCCCCTCTTGTTTTCAAAGATGAGGAAATAAGGTACGTAAAAGTTAGTTAACTTCCTTAAGGTTATATAGAGCCAGTGTGTAGTAGAAAAGGAAGGAAGGAAGGGAAGAAGAGGAAGAGGGAGGAAAAGAGAGAGGAAGGGAGGAAGAAAGGAAGGAAGAAGAGGAGAAGGGAGGGAGGCAGGGAGGAAGTCATAGGCTAATGAGCGCTCAAGGGTGTGAGCCTCAGAGGGCTCCTCTCCAGGTCCACGTGGCTAGCACTTAACATATCACTAGTACAATGAGGTGTGGGCGAGTGAAAGAAATGATCAGTCTTCTGTACCTCTTGACCATTATAGTTCATGCTATTAGAGTTCTTTTCTTAAACCACCCATGCTCCACAAAGCCATAATGGAAAGAAATGTCTGTCTTCCCTGAACACAGACAGAATTCCTCTCTGCAACGTAGCTTGCTTTCCTTACAAGTGTGACATGATGTGTTAATGTCAAGTCTGTGTATATGTTCATTAGAAGCTAGAGATCGTACAACTTATGCTCGAGGCCTGTTGCTTTTCTTCAGTTTAACATTATAGGTACCCTTTTCTCCTCTGCCATCTTTAGAACTCCACTAGGTTTGGGCTTCATTCCATACCATTGTGTCACAGCTGAGGTAATGGGTCTGCAATCAGACATTTTTTAGAACACAATCAAGCTCCAGCCTCTTACTAGCTGTGTGATTGCTCAGCAAGTCTCTTAACTACACCTCAAGTTCAGTTTTTTTACCTTACATTACCTAGAAAATAGAGTTTTTATAAGGATAAACTAAAATGTAAAGAAAAGCATTTTGTAAACTGAAAAACACTTTATAAATTTAAGGTATTATCTCGCAGAAATATCTACTTTGTTTTGGGTTTGCATTAGTTCCTTGGGGTTTTTTTGGTTTTTTGGTTTTTTTGGCTCTTCTTATTTTGTTCTCAATTAGTTGTCAAAAAAACCCATATATGCATGTGAGTTTCCTACAGACAGTGTTTGAAAGCAAGTAGTGTCTTTCCTATTTCTAATGCATATTTCTGATGGACCCAGCTTAATCTTTTTTTCTTACAGAAATTTTCAAAAATGAAAAACGTCAAAAATAATGAGATGTGACTGAAGCCACTTGGGCAGTGAACATAAATGTTCACAATGGAAAAGCAAGCCTAGCCTTCTAGCTGAAAAAACAGCTATTCCCCAGTGGACCCCAGAAGAAATTTGACTGGCCACTGCAAAGGAAAAAACAACCTTAAAAGTTTTAACAGGTAAAACTTAAAGAGCAACCTGTGATATGGAATTCACATAGTCTATTCTGCTGTGCCAAAATCTATGTGCATTGTTTTATTGTTACTTAGGACATGTTTATTTAATGTGCACACTTTTTGTGGTTCTCATTCCCACTGCTGACAGTTAAGCAATTGGAAATTAATTTTGTATTTTAGTTTCCGAGTAAAACCAGTTGAAAATAAAAGCTCACCAAATATTTTCATTTTTCTCAATTTGTTTTACCTCTTTTTAGTGTTACCATCGTTACTGTTAAAAATAACAAAAAAAATTAGATCTGAGAATGATCTAAAATAATCAGGTTTCTTATCTGATTCCCTTGGAGCTGTGGAAATGAGTTTGACTTCACATTTTCATTTTGTTTTAGAAATACATGGTAAGTGTGTTTGAGACTTGACAGCCAAAGCCATTGTTAGTTACAGGAATTTTCCATTACTTTCTCCCGTGTCTCCTAATAACCAGAGTTCATTACTGCAATATCACCGAAGATCTGATAATATGCCTTATTATTTTATGTACTGTACACTAGATAACTCTTTAGATAAATGTTTATTAGGATAGTAGGAAAGCCATTTCATTTATTTATTATTTATGTACTAAGTGTACAGGTACAACATTATTTTGCCTCTAACAAAATGAAGAGACAGAGAATTATACAGGAATTTAATTGCCAACTTTGGACTTGGTTCACAGGTTGTACTCTATACAAAAATTTACATAATCTCATATCTCATAATTATTTTACATTATGTATAGAAATTATTCATTGGTTTAGTACTAAAGAGTTTCTGAAGATTACAAATCATGAAAAACTTTTCAACAGAAAAATATTACAGTTAGAAATCTTTCATACAATGTTTATATTTCTGATTTAGCTTACTTTTTGTATCTTTTTTTTCTTCCTTTTTCAGTGGAAATGAACCCTGATTTCCAATACACTAAGGATTATTTAGGGATTTGATGTGGTAATATATTGTTATTTATGATTTCTAAAATTTTCTGAGATGGTTTAACTTTTATCTATTTTGCTTATTTGTGCCCATAAGAACAAGAACTTTTAAAAGTTTATGTCCCCATATTTGATTATTGAAGTCCACTGAGAATCCTTTCTCAACAACCTTGGCAAACTCATAGAACTCATTGGCCAGTTTGTTATTTTTCAAATAATAATGAAAGGCTAGTATTTTTATTTGGTATATGAGAACAATTAAATCTGTGCTTTTAGTAGGTACAGTTCTTTGATTAGAAAATCTAGAGAATGTATGTCTTAGTTTGGTCGTAAATCATCCAGAGCTTTCTAGTGGAAATTATATATAACATTTCTAACAATGTAATTCCTTTTATGTACTGTGCTTCCAGCTCTCTTGAATTTGAAAGGTGTAATAAACTTCATGTTCATCTATGGAAGATTTTGGGAGGTTGAAAATAAATTTTCTTTTGCGTGTGTGTATGTTCTCTGTCACGTTTAATAACTATCTCCCGGTAACAGCTAAGATATTCTTTAGCTAGGATTGAAATGAATTCTTAACTATTAAGGAAGAGGCTACCTGTGTTAAAGAAGCCAGGAGAAGAGGCCTCTTTACCTCCTCACCCTGTTCCCTGCAGCCAGGGACCTACAGTGCTGAGCACAATGACCAGATTTCACAGGATGATGGGGCTGCATAGCTAGATGCCAAGACCTCCAATGATCAATGCTGCCCTCTTCCTAACTGAGTCAAACAGTTTTGGGAAGGGGATGGAAAGGGAGTGAGAAATGAAGAAAGGAGTGTTCTTTGAGGTGTGTTTGGCTCTTATAAACCAAGACGTTAATATAAAAAGGTTTTGTTTTAAGATCAAAGTCAACATTAATGAAACTTCTGGATGTTTATCCAAAGTCTTAAGTTACAAGTTACTTCTAAAGGGAAAAAGGTATGTAAAATTCCTGGGAAGGAAGAGTCAGAATTAGGATCTGAATATATCCTGATAGGCTGGAATACTAGAAACTGAGTCTAACAGAATGAAAGTACTCTTTTGATTTTACCATCAAAATATTTGCACAGTTTTACCACTTGTTACTGCTTCCTACCGGGCTACCAGTGTGACCCAAGTTCAATCATCTCTTCTTGGGTTTCTGCAGTAACCCTGTAACCATTCTCCCCATTCCTGCTCTTGCTACCAATCAGTTTATTTTTAACACAGTAGTCAGTCAGAAAGATCCATTAAAACGTATATTATTTCACACCACAGTTGCTTCCCATCTCACTCAGAGTAAAAGCCAAAATTCCTAACGTGATCTACAAAGCCCTACAGGATCTGTTCATGTTACTTCTCTGACTTCTTATCCCCTTTCTCAGCGTGCGAAAGTCGTGCTGGCCTCCTCACTGTTCATCAGACAGGACAGGACGGTCTTGCCTCCAGGCCTTTGCCTTGGTTTCTCTCCACCAGGAAAAGCTTTTTGCTCAAATATCTACACAGGTCAGTCCCTCACTTCATTCAGGTTTCATACAAATACCTGCCCTGACCACACTACCTCAAACTGGGACCCCAACCCCACCTGGTTCTTCCTACTTTTTACTCTTTACTAAGGTAAGCAAACTTGGTACTGGGTAAGCCTAATGTGTCTTGTATATTGATTGACAATCTGAAACGGAAACTTATTCTAATGGTCTTGTCCTTGTAAGAATACAAAACAAACATAAAAATATTAGAAAAGAAGTAATAATTTTAAAATGTTTAAGCACAACAGAAGAAAAAATTTTGGGGATAGTAGTTCTTAAGTCACCACCCAGAATGCAGCAAAAAAAGATGATAGGAAGTATAAAAGAGATGTTAAAAGACATTCAGATCAGTTTAAGAAGGCATGATATTTATTTAATTAGAGTTAGAGCAAGAGAAATTGGGAGACTGGTGCAAGGCTGAGGTGAGGCAATATTCAAAGAGATGATACCAGAGAACTTTCTAGAATTAATAAATGATACCAATTTCTCAGATTTAAAAAATACAGAATATCTCAAGAAGGATAAAAGCTAATTTCCCAACACATCATATAATAGTGAAATTTGAGAAGATGTCTACAGAGATAAGGCTGGGACATCAACTGGGGCAACAGTAAACTTTACCAAGGCCAAGACAGAAGCCAGAAGCCAGGGCACTGGGGAAAACACTCTTAAGAACTGTGAAACAACATAATTTTTAAAAATAAGAATAAAAGACCTTTACAGGTTAACAAAAACAGAGAGGACTTACAATCAATTGAATTATCAGCACAAGACTGTATAAAGGATGTACTCTAAGAAAGAAAATAAATCCAGAAATAAGGATCTGCGAATCAAGAAAGAATGGTACGTTAAAAGAGAATTCAAAGAATGGGAAACTGTACTTGCTGTATACACATCCAACAAAAGAATTATATCCAGAATATATAAATAACTCCTACAAATTATTAAGTAAAATGCAGACGACCTAATTTTAAGAAAGGATAGAGGGCTTAAGCAGGCATTTCATAAACAAAGATATCCAAATGGATAATGAGCCTATGTAAATGTGCTCAAAATCACAGCAATCTTTAGGAAAATGCAAATTAGAGCCATGATGACATATAACATTACAAATCCACCAGATGGCTAAGTTTTTTTTTTTAAATGACAAGAACAAGTTTTGAAGAAAGTGTGGAGCAATCAGAACTCACACATATCGCTGGTGGGAGTTTAAACTGATACATCTACTTTGGAAAACTACAGTATCTACCAAAGCCAAACAAATAACTGCTCTATGACTCAGAATTTCCACTCCTACGTGTAAATGAAACAAAACTGAGTGCATTAACCTACGAATAGGACATGTACAAAGATGTTTGTAGCAGCCTTATACAAACTGGGCATAATCCATGCCAGTGAGCCATAGAATAGACAACTAGATTGTGGAAAAAGCTACAGCAACATGAGTGTGATGATACATGCAACAATGTGAATATATTTCAAAGCCATAACACTGAATGATAGAATTCAGACACAGAAATAGTATATGCTGCATGATTTCTTTTATATTAAGTTTAAGAGCTGGCAACACTCCTTTATGTTAATGGAAGGAAGTGTGTTGTTTGCACTTGGGTTGGTAATGCCAGGAGGAGGAACTGTCATGGCACCTGTGGGTGTGTCATTTAGCATATGCATATTACATATGCTTATTACATTAAGCATATAATAAGGCTCTCAAGGTCTACTGGAAGTCAAATCTTCCACCATCTTAGGCCTAACAGGTTCTAACCAGTTTTTGTCATATTTTTTTCTCAATGGCTGTGTCATTCTTTAAGGGTTGTGCCCTGCCCCCTTCCCTCTGTCTCAATAGTATGCTATTGGAGGAGAAAAGCTATATCATTTCTCTCTTCTCATTACATGGAAATAATTGCCTGATAATAACCTTATCTGGATTACTGGATTATATATTAGAAGTGTTAAAAGATAAAAGGTATCCATATATATTTCTCATTTAGATACTAAAAGTCTAAAATGTAAATTAGCTTTATCAGGGTTTCCCTTAGGAGAGTGGGAATTTGCCCATATATTTTGTTTCATATGACTTTTGGTGGTTTTTGTTGTCATGGTTTGTGTATGAATGAGTTAATTATTTCATTTTGGTATATGTATAGAAAGATGTACTCAAAATACTACTACTTTGCATTCTCACAACAAAGTCATGGAGAAGTGAAATTTTGGACATGGGTTTATAAAATCCTGGACAACTTGGTAGGCAGGAACAATCTAATTCCAGGGCTCATACCCCAAGCTGTGGAAATTAGAGGTAAAGGTAGATTTTAAATAAATCTGTAATCAGGACTGTTAGAGTGGGAATTAAATAAAACTGCTAACAGGGTCTTTTCAAATTCCCTATAGATATTAATACTGGGGATTTGAGAATAGGTAATTAGAATTCAGTGGAAACTGGGGAATTCTCCAAATTGTAGGTTTTTCTTATATTTTAAAATAATGATTTATTTATGTTTTTTAAAATAATAATGAGTGCCCATAATAGTAAACAGTGGATCGTTTTGTGCGGCAGAATTTTAGTGTCAGAGGTTTTCAGTTAAGAAATAAAATATGGTAATAAATGCATGTTTTTCTCTTAAGAAATAATAAATTGTGATACGATGTAAAAATGTTGCTTACCTGAAGTAGGTATTTGATATTATAAAACATTTAAAGAAGGGAATATTAACAAAATAAATCTTAAAATCATTAAAAATTAAATGATAATAAGACAATTATTTATTATTTAAAAGTTATTATTTTTAAAATGAAATTTTACAACACATGAAGCAGTAATTGTCCCAATCCATAATCTTGATCTTTGTTTTGAGAAAATATTTCAGACATAGAAAATATTGCATTGATGTTGGTTGAATTATTAAGTTTGGGTATTAATGTACATGTTATTTCCCATAGACTCATTTCCATTTTAACAATAAAAATATTTTGTCTGCTTGATTATGATTTTGCCATTGAAATCAATACTGCTTAGGCTATATTAGATTTTAGGTCAGTTCCTGATTTCATGTCAGAGTATTTAACAACAGCACTCCTATTTTCTTCTCTTTGCATTTCTTCTGTTAAAGTAGTTACAAAGAGCTACAGCCTAGAGCAAATAGTTCATCACTGGAAATGCCAGGCAACATTACTAGGATACTGTAGCATTCCAACCTCTGAGCAAGGTTAACAGTACTTCACAGAGTGAAGGGTCCAAATTGCCAAACTAATGGCTCTTTTGCTTCTGAAACTTGATAGTCTAGGGAACACTATTCATCAATTTGTATGAAGTAAACGATGCATGTAAACTTGTTAATTTTAATTTTATTTGCAAGAATACCTCACTATTAGCAGCAGCTGGGGCCACAAATACCCAGTTACAACATGGCAACAGCAACAAGAAAGAATGAACAATTAGATTGTGGTGCTTCTCTCCTACAAGCTCCTGTTCTGATTCATAGACCTATCCACCTTGAAGTTTGACTCAATTAATGTCAAAACATATGTTTAAGTTATGAAGAAGGAAGGAGAAGGCCTATGATTTCCCATGATTTCTGCAACTATAAACTTATTAATATTTTAAAATATTATTTCAAATGTCTTGCTCCATAAATTCATTTTAGGATACCAACCATTTGTTATGTTATTTCTACAGAGTATATTTAAACCCATCATAGATAGGAATTTCAGTAAATTTTTTTAAAAATACACTTTTTGTATTGAATATATGCCCAGGATTGAAATTCAGGATTGCCGAGGATTGAATTCAATATTTTGAATTATCCTAATTTATTTTTTTCTAAATTTATTGAAAAATGTACTCATTGGAAGAAAAAAACACAATTTCTATTTTCAAATGTTTCTGTGACCAATTACCTCCATATTCCAACAGCTGGCAGCCATGCTAAGTACTTTTAATGATAAAATCAGTCACTTTTATGTGACTGATCTATTAGTCATATAATTAAGGTAAAAAGTCTAAAAACCTTTTAGACTTCATTACCTATTTTTAGAAATTTTCTGGACAATAAGAATGACATAGAACTTTAATGATATCTTGTCAATAATTAGTCAAAATTCTTGTCATGTTATAAAGGTCAGAACAAATTTTTGAAAAAAGATTAAACCAAATTTATTTTGATTAATTTATATTACCATTGAACAAGTGTAAAGCAATACAAATTTTAAGCATATACAAAGTTAATAACAGTAAAAAAAGACAAAGAAAAATGAAATATATTTTAATATTTATAACAACTTTATTAAGGTATAATTGACACAATAAACTGCACATAATTACAATGGAAAATTGGATAAATTTGGACATATATTTATAGATATAAAACCATCACCTCAATCAACATAATGAACAACATGCCATTCCTCTTACTTTTCTTTGTCTTTCTTCCCTGGGCTTATGTCACTACTTTCCATCTTCTTTCTATCATTGTAAATTAGTTTGCATTTTCCAGACTTTTTATAAGTGGAATTATGTAGTATATAATTTTTTGTCTGCCTTCTTATATTTAGTGTAATTATTCTGAGCATCATACATGTTATATTGCATATAAAATTGTTTATTCTTTATTTTGCTGAGTACTGTTTCATTGTATGGATAGACCACAAGTTGTTTATCCACTCACCTGTCGATGGACATTTAAATTGTTTCCAGGTTTTTGGCTATAGAAATAATGTGCTATGAACAATTCTGTACTAATCCTTCTATGGAGAGATGCTTCTACTTCTCTTGGGTAAGTATCTAGGAGTGAAATATTTGGGTCATATAGTGGGTATGTGTTTAACTTTTTAAGAAACTACCAAAATGATTCCCATGATAGTCCTATTTTTTCATTTCAATCAGCAGTGTATGAAATTTTCGGTTGTTCCACACTCTTGGTGTGGTAAGTCCAATGTGTGTGTGTGTGTGTGCGTGCGCATGTGCATGTGCGTACAGGCAGTTCTTGCCTTGCACAGTTCCAACATGCACAATTTTCAGTCTATGGTTTAGTTAAATAACACCAGTCCCCCAACAACACAGTTCAAATTTCAGTTTCACAAAGAGCAAACATGGCTTCTAGCTCTTCAGTTCACAAATCCCTGAGTAAATAACACATGTACATATTGATCAGTGACAAATCACATCGATTCTTTTAAAGTATGTTGGTAACTGGGCACTTACTGCACATCTATTACCCAGTTCACACAAGAACAGCAAAGAATGTAGTTGTATTGCTTCTTTGTCTCCCAGTGATAAATTCACCTGACGTTTTACACAATTGGATAATCCAAAGAGGGTTTCAAAGAAGCCAACCAAAATGAAAGTGTAGCAAATAAAAGAAACGTGAGAACACTGACAGTGAAACTCAAATCAAACGAAAATGGAGCTGTGGAAGAACAGCTCACTGTGAGAATGTTGGCAATGCTGCCGTTTGAGAGAGTTGAAGTATGCAGCCAGAGGAACTTGAAGGCATAAATGAGGAAAGTGGGTGTGGCAAAAAGGATGAATTCGTCTCAGAAGAGGTAGCAACAGCACAAATTTATATATTACAGGAACCCTCTGAGATATTTCACAACTTTGAAGGGATACAATGTTGGATCCAAACTTAGAAAGAAGTATGACAATTCATGAAGGTGTGCCTGCTCTGTATTGTAAGATATACATGAGAAAAAGAAGGCAGGGACTGTTCACACTATTTCTGATGTGTTTTACCAAGAAACATCACACTTCAATTCTCAATGTTGCCATTTTAAATTATAGTGTACTAGATAAATATTAGTTTTACTATTCTTTTTTATTTGCTTGTACATTTATAAATGACAATATGATTATTTAATGTCTAGACAAAATTTTTAAAGGTCATGGAACAATTTTAATTGTTCTCATTGACTATTAAGAGCACTTCGCACAGTTTCAGTTTGCACAGTCATTTTTATGGTCCCTTACTACCATGTAAAGCAAGGAGTGAGGGCTAAATTATAGAAGTATATAGTTGGACATTTTGGCAATAAATGTATTACAGTTTTTAAAATAACTAAGAGAAAATGTTACAACTATATTATATAGTAAGTGATACCAAAATAGGAAATGAATAATTAGTGACTGTTGGGAACGGTGTCAGGGCATCACACCAGGCTCTCCTGCATCCTGGTGATGATGTATATTTCCCATTATTCTAAGGCCATGGGGAGTCATTATCCTTGATGTATTATTACTTTCTAAATGTGTCTCACATCCATCTACTTCTATCCATCTCTTTCTTGCCTTTACATGGACTCCTTTTTCTAACTGGCATGATCTTCTATCCCACCTCAATCAGGCTAGTGAACTGCAGCGTTCAAACATCTCCTCTGTGAATTCTGCAAGATTCATTCAAGCAGACACTATCATCCCCACTTCTCCTCTACCACTACAGTACATAGCATACAACAACATAGGTTCAATGTTGTGAATACTTGTTTGAATGTATTTTCACTGAGTTCCTGGTATTCAGGCGGTTTGTGTCATTTGTCTTTGTATTTGCAGTGACACATTGTAGGTATGTAATACATGATTTTTAAATGAATAAATTTTTAATGTTGTGTAAATTTAATTTACTATGCTGCCTTCAACATAGATTGTTATTTTAAGCTTTCTCTAGTATCATGAATGCATAATAGTTAAATGAAAGCATGAAATGAAAGACTTTGTTCAATGATGAATAAAAGAGAGACTTGAACAGTGGGGTATCTTTCAAGACAACATGTGTGACCCTGGAGCCATTTCTCTCCTGGGCTTGCAAAACATTTAGAAAACTAAAAAATAAATGCTGATATCATATGTAAAACTTTGAGAGCACTGATTTTGGAGTCAGGTTGACCTGAATTCAAACCTAGATTCGTCACTTACTGGTTGAATGATCACAGAAGTGGAACTTCATTTCTTTATTTATATAATAGGGTGGAGGGGGGCAGCCAATAACATCTGTCTCCAGAATTACCATGGAGATGAATTACGATGACAGATGCACATGAAGTACTACCCAGTGTCTGGCACTTGCAATGTGCATAAATAAACATTAATCTCTTTCCTCCATTTCTTCCCTCTCTTTTTAGATTGATATCCTGTTTATGTTTTCAGTATCCATACTATATGTTATATTATCAATTTTTGAAATAATCTTTTTGAGAATTTGAATTATGTTAATAGGAATTGTCTATTTTCTTTTTTTAAAGTGAAGTATAGTTGGTTTACAATGTGTTAGTTTCTGGTGTACACCAAAGTGATTCAGATATATATATATATATGTATGTGTATATATATATATATATATATATATATATATATATATATATGCTTTTTCAGATTCTTTTCAATTATAGGTTATTACAAGATGTTGAATATAGTTCCCAGTGCTATGCAGCAGGACCTTGTTGTTTATATATTTTATTTATAGTAGTGTGTATCTGTTAATTCCAAGCTCCTAATTTATCCCTCCCCCCATTTCCCCTTTGGTAACCATAAGTTTGTTTTCTATGTCTGTGAGTCTATTTCTGTTTTGTAAATAAGTTCATTTGTATCATTTTTTAGATTCATGTAAGTGATATCATATGATACTTGTCTTTGTCTGACATACTTCACTTAGTATGATAATCTCTAGGTCCATCCATGTTGCTGCAAATGACATTATTTCATTCTTTTTTATGACTGAGTAATATTCCATTGTATATATGTACCACTCTTCTTTATCCATTCATCTGTTGATGGACACTTAGGTTGCTTTCATATCTTGGCTATTGTAAATGGTGCTTCCATGAACATTGGGGTGCATATATCTTTTCGAATTACTGTTTTCTCTGGATATACACCCAGGAATGGGATTGCTGGATCATGTGGTAACTCTATTTCTAGTTTTTAAGGAACCTCCATACTGTTCTCCATAGTGGCTGCACCAATTTACATCCCCACCAACAGTGTAAGAGGGTTCCCTTTTCTCCACACCCTCTCCAGCATTTATTATTTGTAGACTTTTTGATGATGGCAATTCTGACTGGTGTGAAATGACATGTCACTGTAATTTTGATTTGCATTTCTCAAATAGTTAGTGATGTTGAGCATTTTTCATGTGCCTCTTGGTCATCTGTATGTCTTCTTTAGAGAAATGTTTATTTAGGTCTGCTGCCTGATTTTGATTTTTTTTTTTTTTTTTTTGGATATTGAACTGCATGACCTGTTTGTATATTTTGGAAATTAAGCCCCTGTCAGTTGCATCATTTGTAAATATTTTCTCCCAAGGAATCATAGATTTTCTGAGAGTTTTTAACCTGTATTCAACTCTTACTTATTTATTTATAGCCTGGCCATGAAAAATATAAAAACCCCAAGAAGCTTTCTTTTGACCCAAGTAACTATTAGCTATTATTTCTTTACATGTGTATGAGCCCTCACTATCAGTGTATGTATATTCAAGGATTAAAACCTGTTGTTCTTATTGTCTTATATCAAACTGTTGAGTAAAATAAATAATGGTTCAAAATCCATGCCAGCTCTATCAGTTAAAATAATAGTTATCTATAACAGGAGTTTTTAAATATTAATTTAACTTCTAGGGTTAAAGTTGGTAAAATTAAGTCCTGTCTGCTTTATATAGCAAAATTTTAGCCCTTCTTATGACAAGTAAAGCAGCTGAACACTGTTTAATGCTCAATGTATTAAATCCTATTGCTCATACACCAAACAGTTGTGAATAATAATATGTGTATTGTATTTTTATATTATATATACATTAGAACTAATGCTTAGATTTCAGATTATATTGTTTTCTGTATTTATTTTATTTTATTTTAACCTAATTCAAAATACCTACCAAGAATTTTGGCATGTGACTGAATTCTAAGCAACAATGGAAATGAAGAGAAGGGTTGATCATACGGATGACCACTAGATGTTGCTAGTTGTCTAGTTTATAAATCTAAGCAGCCATTTTCTCAAAAGTTTTGTTTCTCCCTTATCTTCACCAGTGTTTTCCAAACACAATATCTAATCCCATGCTGACTGTCAGTAAAATTGGAGTTTATCAAAAGCTAAAATTTGTGACATCCAAGTTTTTAAAAAAATGCTTCTAACTCTCCACTCAATCTTTTTTTCTTTATATTCTAAAAGGTAAGAGATAGTTATACCTTCCAAACTAGAATTTAGCTATAATATCTAGAAAGTTATTCTTAATATAATTAAAAATGCATAAGCTGCCTCCTTCCATGCCCATATTAATTTAGATATTTTTACTGTAATGACTACAAATGATTCAGTTATGGTAAAATTTGGTCCAACAAGGCACACTTATTCTGGAGCTAGACTGAAAGAGTAACTGTCAAATTTTCAATTATAGACTGTTTCTTTTGCGATATAACCTAGGAGTTGGGGAAGGGCTGGAGCAGAACACTAGGATTCGGGGAAAGAATTTTCGGTTTTGTCTGAAAACTGCAGAACTGGATAGGCAAAATTCTGGTAAGGCAGTTTTAATTATTGTTTCCTTTAGTTGGGCAGGTTTTCATGTTTAATGTTTTTTGTTGTTGTTGTAGTTTTGTTTTTGTTTTTTTTTCTGTTCAAGAGCACTGAAGGAAGCAAAAGTAGTGAGACCCGGGAAAGGAACAGAGAGGCTTCACATTGCCTCCAGGTCAGTCAAAGGGCATGTTGCAAAGGATCTCTTATCTGAGGACCCCATGGAGAGGGCAGGCCAACTGTGGGAGAGCCATAAAGGTGCCCAGCAAATGT